CACCACTATCCCACCCTCTCATGCTTTCGCTCCGACATGTCCACAGATGACTATGCGGGTGACTACTCTTTCTGTTAGGAGCATGTTCCTGTTTCGCTGTTACATATTATGTCCCATACTGCCTTCTTGGCCTCGTTGTATCGGAAATAGACGATATGTTTGGAGGTCACCCTTAGATATAACCCTGCAGTGTTGTAAAATAAGAATAAAAAATATCATGAAACATAAGCCCTATGGCGGTATTCCCAGATGGGTTCCTGTGTCTCTTCTGAGTAGTGAACGTATTGTTTTGTTGTTGGTTGTAAAGCTCTTTCACCCCCCCCCCAACCGAGAAAAAAGGACAAAAATAGGACAAAAATAGGACCCAAAATATATTTTAAAAATAAAACAAAGATGGAACAAATAAACAGTTTAAGTTATGGGCTCCCTAAAAATACAGGATCGCGTTATTATATTGGTTCGAAGCCTTGTCTACGGAGACATCTTTTGTGAAAGTAAATTATTGTTTAGGCAGGCAGTCGCTGCGAATTTGAACTCGTAGATCCCGTCTACTTAAACAGGCTATTCTATTGCAAGAGGCGTTAAATTCAACTTAACCTTTCCCGCGATTAATGAATATCTCGTGTTGACAGTCGGCCTATGGTTGCACCGCTTGATTAGATAGAAGGATCGCGACTATCACTGACAGCTTCTGCATTTCCTATCCCCTCCTTGTTATTCTAATCGTGCACACACACACATACACTCGCAATCTCCCTCAACGCTAGCACGTGTAAACAAACAACATTAGCACATACACTCGCGCGCACACACAATCGCTAGCATGTGTACACAAATAACATTAGCACACACATAGACCCACACAAAACATAATATCCTTCTAGCACCCAATTATTCCGGTCAGCCCTAACTAGAAGGTCGATGACGGGTATATGTGTGTGCGTGTTTTGATCAGGGTGTTTCACGACCTAGTGGCCCATGTTTACTTATGCAAATTGGGGCTTTGTGCCGCCTAGGCGAAGCTACTCCCTGAAAATGAAATTTGTTCTTCCCAGTCCGATTACAATCAAATCTCATCAACTAGCGTTCCAATGTTTACGACCTGGGCTATCCCAGCGAGCCATTAGACCTCTTTGATGCACCGCCTCATTATAATATATACACTCTCACTTCACCAGCACCCTTGTTTAACCAATCCCACCACCCCCACCCCACCCCCAAAAAGAAATTTTAAAATTTTAAATAAGATTGAATTTTTTTTAAAAGAAAGAAAATGAAGTATCTAGATTAAATAAACGGTTGTACTTACCGGCTCGTACACCGACCCGTCAAGTCACACGCCACGTCAGCGATAGATAAATACGACAGTGTCGCCACCCACTTATGTAGCCGTCAATATTTT